ATATATTTATAATTTAGAGACAGCAAAATATGATTTATTTTAGCAAGAAGACCAAGATTCTTGATGGATCAGAATGCTGTAATAAACATGGATTTTGATGAGGAAAAGCCCAGAAATTCAAGTTTCCAGAGAGCTTTTTTGTTATTTCCTCCTCCTTTTTGTGAAATAGCTTAATATTGCCAAGTAAACTACATACTAGAAAATATTTCAGACAGCATAATAGGCACAAAAAGCAGTAATAATTTTAGCTGTCTGGTTTTTTATTGACCCTAAAGAACTATAATTTAAAAACTATTATTCTTTAGGGAAGTCTAGACTGATTTGCCTTTAAAATATTGTATTCAAATTAAGGCCTTGTAGTAAATATTGACTTTGGTAAAGTACTCATCAGTAGTTACTGTTATGGTTTTTCTATTAAATGTGTGTTGATGTTAGCTACTAATAATTCTATTTTTAGAAGAGTACATTGTGTACAGCAACCATTTTGGACACTTTGTGTAACTTGTATTCTCAGTTGAGAGTGTGCCCTCCTGTGGTCATTGGGGACAAAATTTCAGCTATAAATAATCATCTAGCTTTCCATGAGTTCACATTTGTCTGCTGTATAGTATCACCCATACTCTGATTTTTTTCTTTTAATAAACAAAAAGCAAAACTGTGGCGTGATTTTAAAACGTTGAGAACTGGAGAGAGTAGCATTGTACCTTATTTGAAGAAGATGCTAAAAAGGATAAGGCCTGAAGGACAGAATATAAAGGAGAAGCCTAACAGAGAAAAGATAGCAAAGTGTGAGAAGAGGCAAGTGGTGCGAAGTATTAACTTGGAAGTTTTGTGACTAAAGTTGATGTGGTATACCTGAATACCTGCCACCCTTTACAGAAGGCTTCCAGAATGATATTCTGGTTTTATTTCCATTTCATCATTTATCTATCTTTTCATCCTAGAGAAAGGAATAAGTATTTATTCCAACACCCTTTGTTTTAAAACATCTCTTTCATACAATGAAAATTAAGTTTAGTTTAAAATAGGTGTCCAGACCTGTTTGGCAATACCTCATATAAGTGGGCATCAGAAGTGCTTATCGGTTATGGGGATTTTCTGTGAAGGACCAAGTTTTAAGTGAATTTTCTCTGTGAATTTCACTTTAATTTTTCTCTTAATTTGCATGAGGAGATTTTTTAAAAACTTCTGTTCTTCCTTGAATCACAGTGTTAAATTTTATCTTTTCAACAATGGCTGTGTCTCATATCTACCATTTTAGATCCTCGGCTGATGTTTTTAATGCCCTGGTATTCTTAGAATGAGTCCACTATTAATGATATTAATCAGCTTTTGTCAAGTGGTTCACTGACCTTCACCTATCCATTAATAAGCGAGTATTGCAACAAGGAATCATCCTGGTCACATGAAGGGATGTTTCTGTGGTTAGGAAATTGCATATATTACTCTTCATTCGTTGTTACAGAAATAGTTTTTTAAGTTTAAACTATTTATTACAGTTAATGGTTTAAACTATTTTAAAAGTTCTGGTCCAATTTTAAAGCATTTTATTTATTTATTTATTTATTTTTTAGAAACAGAGTCTTGTTTTGTTGCCCTCAGTAGAGTGCTGTAGCATCACAGCTCACAACAAAGTCCAGCTCTTAGGCTTAGGCAATTCTCTTGAGTCAGCCTCCCAAGTAGCTGGGACTACAGGCGCCCGTGACAACACCTGGCTATTTTTTTTGTTGCAGTTTGGCTGGGGCTGGGTTCAAACCCACCCCTCGGCATATGGGGCTGGCACCCTACTCACTGAGTGAGCCACAGGTGCCGCCCCAATTTTAAAGCATTTTAAATTGACAAAGAGTTATTGCCATTTTTATATAAATCAAACAGGCAGTTGCTGCTTATTTATACATGATTACACAGCAATAAATGCCAGGAATCTTATATTGCATTTTTATTTGAAATAATTTTTAATTTTAATACATAGCTTGCGAAAATATATTTATTTTGTATTGAACTGCATTTATATGACTATACCATCAAGTGTGTTTAAAAAGATGTATGGGGGCTATTTTCATAATTATATAAGTAATTGCATTAGTCATTCATGTTCTAAAAACTTTACAGGGAAAAATGTAAGACTTAATCTGTTTACCTAGCCTTTAAGTGAATTTCAACACAGTGTAATGCTTCAAGGCTTAGCTTCTGGAGTCAGGCTGCCTGGATTTGAATCCCAACACTGTCACTTACTAGCTGTGTGATCTTGATGAGTTCTTTTAACTTGTCTGTGCTTCAGTTTCCTCATGGGAGTAATATCAGTATCTGTACTCCTATAAGATTATCATGAGAATTGAGTGAATTTATGTAAAAACATTCAAAATATTGCCAGGCACACACATACTGACATTTGTATGTGGATTAGCTGGGTTGTTTTTAATTGTCAGAATTAAATTTGCACATGAATTAATGTTGAAATTTATTGTAAAGAACATACTATTGTTTTGTAAATATAAATCAATTTTGTGTTTCTTTAAAAATGTTTTTGTAAAATTGAAAATAAAGCTAAAATGCAGTTTTAACCAGCTTTTTGGTGAAAACTTTCTTTACAGTAATCTTTTTTCCTTCTTTTTTAGGCACGGAATGTTAACACTGGTGAATTAGCAGCAATTAAAGTAATAAAATTGGAACCAGGTAAATCATTGGAAATTTGATGTTCCTTATTGCTAGAATGCCATTGGATATCTTAAGGCCTATTTAATGATACTTAGCCAACATTCTCTTGGTTTTTCCCAGTGTCTAGGGTCAGTAGAACTGCGTGTAGACTCCTTCCTCTAATTCCTGCATATACCTTGCTTAGTTCTTCCCTGAAAAATAATTGATTATTGGGGGAGGTAGGGGAACTCTGAAAGAGATGTTTGTTTTTTCTGAACTCAGTTGAGCTAACTTGGGACCAGCTGAGAGTGGTGTATTTCCGTGTTCGCACGGTCCTATGGTGAGGGATGCAGGGGAAAGAACAGAACTCTGATTGGGGATGTTGTAGCCTAGTTCTTGGTCTCCCATTCCCTTGCTCTGTGAACTTAGGTAAGTGTAATAGCTTCCTGCCTCTGAGTCTCAGTTTTCTCAGCAGATCTGACTCTCACATCCTGTCGTTAGTATCTGAACAGTCACCTTCCAAGTTGAGCAGCTCATTATAAAACCCCTTCACAGTACTCTGTCTGTATTTGTTGTTTGCTTCAACTGTATTCTAGAATCCCCCACCTCTCTCAAAACCACGTCTTTCTGAGGTAACTCAGAAACTCTTGTTTCTTCTCTTTTAGAAACCCATTCTCACTCTTTCTCCTTCCTTTCCCACCATATGCAAGGATGAACCATAATTTGCCATGTATAACATGCACTTTTTTGCCCATATTTTTGAAAATGTGAAAATTGAAAAATACGGATGCACATTATACATGGGTAGTACTGATTTTGTATCTACATAAATGGTTTAATTTTATTTATGCTTCTGTGTTAAAAGTATAACTCTAGAAAGCAATCGTGTTATCTGTATGCAAAATAATACCTAGAATCTGGTAATCATTCCCCTTAGTTGCTCCCCTGCTCCCCAGCTGCCCCCTCACCAGGTAGGCAGTGCAGCTACAGTAGCCTCTAGCCGGCCCAGCTGATTGAGCTGGACACCTCCACCTCCACTAACTTGGAAGCAGGCACACCACTGTTAGCAGTGCAACAGTTAGTGTGGAATCTTCTGGGAAAGGAGGGCAGCAATGGTCATGCTATGGTGCCTCCTTCTCTCTTAAGAGGCACAAGGCACAGAGCAAGTTGCTGTGGAGAAGCTGGGAGCGAGCCCCAGACAGCAGGTTGGAGTGATCCCGATGAGCTGAGCCCCTGACCTCCCCCGACTGCCCTCTTCCAGCCCACTCTCATCCTAACATCCTCTCATTTCCTATTCCCATCCATGGATGTTAGTGGAAATGTGAACATGGCTATTCTGAAAACTCTGGCAGGCTTACAGGGCACTCAGTAACATGAATGAATGACACCAGCCTTTCCTGAACTTGTAAATCCTACAAATCACTCAAGGAACTAGTTAAAATGAGACTCTTAAACCAAACCCAACACACTGTCTAGGAGAGAGACCTTGGTATCCTTTCTGTTAACAAGCATGCTAGGTGATTTTTCTACAAGCAACTTTGGGAAATAATTACCAACTCAACACCTGGGAGATTCAGATAAGTTACTGGCTCAAAATTACTACCTGGGTCTATGGGCCCAGGTAGTCCTGAGCTTTCATGCTTTGCTGCCAGGTACCCAGGCAGACAGAAACTTCATGGGGACTGAGGCCCAAAGTCCCAAAAGCAAAATACAGCTGGGTCGCAGAACCCAGGTCTGTCAGACCCCAGCTCAGGGATCTTTCTCCTCAGTGTGGGATCATGGGTCCTCAGAATAGGGCTCCCACATTACAGGCATGAGCCACTGCAATCTGAGAGATGAGGCAGCTGCAAAAGGGCAGGGATCCACCATAGGAGCCCTGGCCAGCCAGGGCCAGCCCTGACTCCTCATTCCAGCTTTCTGGGTAGTGAGCCTGCGAGGCTTCTCAGCAGAGTGGCTATAGCATCATTCCCACCAACACACGTGGGGTGGGTAGGAAAGAGAGGATGTGGGTATGAAGGTGGGTTAGAAGGGGACAGTTAGGGAGTTTGGGTGCTTAGCTCATCTGGACAACTCTCACCTGCTGCCTGGGCTCTCTCTCATCTTCTCTGCAGCAGCCAGCTCTGCACCTCATGTCTGTCATGACAGAAGGAGGCACCTGCATGTGGCCAGCTACTTCTTGTCCCCTTTAAAAAATGGAAATGAGGCTCGGCGCCTAT